TATTATGTAACTACACACGCGCAGGAAGGACAGGGGTAGCTGAACTTTTTAACTTTCAAATAATTAAATTTTAAATTTAAATATGTATAACAAGCAGCATGGCCCGGCGTTGCCCGTGCTTGATTCAAAAATCGTACGACTCATACAGCAATCGCTATTACTTGACTTAAAATATTTTTGCTCTTCCTTGCCTTTAAAGGAGTGCCCTTTGCTGTGCTGATGTTGCTACATGCCTTACTTCTTGCCTATCTCACACTGCAAATTTTTTCTAAGCTCTATACTAAACATTAAATCTGTTACGAAAAAAGAGTTAAATAAAATGAACACAAAACGATCAGCTTTAAAAAAGGACCCGTAACTAGAAAAACCGAATGAAAACAACAAATACTTTTTCACACCCAACCCAGTTCTGCGGAATCAGAATCAACGTTGAGTTTAAGCAAGCGAATGAGCCAATTGGAGTAAAGTGCCATGCAGATTTAAAATTTTCCCACTTGTGACGAATGTAGCTATCGATTTTTTTTTGCATACTAGCATGCTAGTTAACATTCGTGTCAGTCAGCTTTTGGCTCTCACGCTGGCCAATAGAAACTTCCTGCCTATTCGTGGCAGCCAGCTCTAGGCTCTCACTCTGGCCAGTAGAAAATGGCCGCAAACTACATGAAAACTGCCGTAGAAGCATGAAAAATTCGATTATTTACACTATCGATGGGAGTTGGGAAATGCAAAGTCGGTCTTGACCTTTTTGATAATTTGGAGCATGTGCATGTAAATTTTGGTTCAAATCCGTCGAAAATTGCGGCCGTGCATTCGTTGCACACACACACATCCTACCTTTTATAGATAGATAGATAGATAGATAGATAGATAGATAGATAGATAGGGTACTGACTGTTACAGATAGATATAAGCACTAAGATATATAGAGAGATAGATACATAGATAGATTTTTCAACTTATCAAATAAGCGTGCGGCTTCAAATAATCTTTTCACATGCATGATGTTTTTTCCTCGAGCATTTGCAACTTGGGCATGACATGCTACATTCAGGGAGTCCAATCAACTGTGTCTTTTTAATTTGACCAGAGATTTTCACCGGAAATTTTAAATCTGCTGTCCAAACTGTATAGACATCAAGTTTAGACAATCCCTGGATGGGTCTCATATGGCAATTTCGTCAAAGGATAACAGGACCTGTCGAAAAAGCTTTTGATGCACATGAAGACAAATGAAGCCTGACAGATCAAAGAAGAGAAAAAAAAGACACATGCCTTTTTCTGGCATTAAAAGCTAAATTATGAATTAGTTCACCGATTCTATTTTAAAAGCAATCCTAATTTCGACTTGAACACCAAAGCAGGCAGGGAGAGTGCAGGGGAGATAACTGGCAAATTCAAACTCGGAACCTATAATGAATGTGGAGAAAAATGGATCCAATGGTGCACGGCCAATGACCTGTTAACAGCCAACACAGGGTTCCAAGAACATCCAAGACGATTATTGACATGGAGAAGCCCAGGAAGAGAAACTAAAAACAAAATTGACTACGTAACTATCAAGAAAAGATTCAGGAATACAATGGTTCACAGCAAAACCTACCCAAGTGCCGACTGCAGAAGAGACCATCGCCCTTTTATATGTAAACTAAGAGTGAAACTGAAGAAGCCTTACCTTTGTGAGTTCTTCGAATCAAAGCCAAAAGAATTTTACAGTAATGGAATAAGTAATCTTGTTAATAGATGGAAGGAAGTCATAGATAATCAGGGAAAATACATTGTTGATTGAATCTGTAATTAAATATAACATTTGGTCACTTGTTTTCTTTATTCAAAATTCCGACAGAACTTATGGGATGACCTGATAGATGGAAGAAGTCATAGATAATCAGGAAAATACATTGATTGAATCTGTAATTAAATATAACATTTGGTCACTTGTTTTCTTTATTCAAAATTCCGACAGAACTTATGGGATGACCTGATAGATGGAAGAAATAGATAATCAGGGAAAATACATTGTTGATTGAATCTGTAATTAAATATAACATTTGGTCACTTGTTTTCTTTATTCAAAATTCCGACAGAACTTATGGGATGACCTGATAGATGGAAGGAAGTCATATATAATCAGGGAAAATACATTGTTGATTGAATCTGTAATTAAATATAACATTTGGTCACTTGTTTTCTTTATTCAAAATTCCGACAGAACTTATGGGATGACCTGATAGATGGAAGGAAGTCATAGATAATCAGGGAAAATACATTGTTGATTGAATCTGTAATTAAATATAACATTTGGTCACTTGTTTTCTTTATTCAAAATTCCGACAGAACTTATGGGATGACCTGATAGATGGAAGGAAGTCATAGATAATCAGGGAAAATACATTGTTGATTGAATCTGTAATTAAATATAACATTTGGTCACTTGTTTTCTTTATTCAAAATTCCGACAGAACTTATGGGATGACCTGATAGATGGAAGAAAATCATAGATAATCAGGGAAAATACATTGTTGATTGAATCTGTAATTAAATATAACATTTGGTCACTTGTTTTCTTTATTCAAAATTCCGACAGAACTTATGGGATGACCTGATATTAAGTTAGAACGAAAAATCGTAGCGTTCTTCAATAGATATCATTTGAGCCCCTTATTTTGTTTCACACGTGACTGAAATTTAATGTTTATGACTTATATATATATTCTGAAAAGTGTCTATCTATATGATTCGTGTGTGGATAAAAGACTTTTTATGAATATGCAGAAAAATTAGATGCATTTTCGTCTTTTGGTGCTCTTTTGTTTTCCTTTTCTTTTTTACAGTGATGTACAACCAGTTCAAGTCCCGAGAGCCATTCGAGGTAGAGAATAAGAGGCAGAGTATATGTTGGCAAGACAACGGTTAACCTAGACTTGAACAGATTAAGATTATAATGCTGATTTTCCACGATAGTATGGGCCAACCTGGTAGAATCGAACTCACTATTCAGTCGTGATTTTTCTAGTGACACAAGCTTGCTAGACATTACATCACATCAAGATACCCTAAATGGTTTTCTAAACGTAGCTCAGATTTACCACACATGGAATAATATGGGGCAACCAGTGGGTATCAAACTCTCTACTCAGTCGTAATTGTTCTAACGCGAGAAGCTTGCTAGCCATTACATCACATCAAGATGCCTTAAATGATTTTCTTAGCGTAGCTTAGATGTACCACACGGGCAATAGTATGGGGCACCCAGTGAGCATCGAACTCACTACTCAGTCGTAATTGTTCTAGCTGGACAAGCTTGCTAGCCATTACATCTCACCAAGAATCCCTAAATGATTTTCTAAGCTGTGTTTAGATGTGCCACACGGGCAATAATATGGGGCACCCACTGAATATCGAACTCCCTATTCTGTCCTAATTGTTCTAGCGAGACAAGCTTGCTAGCCATAATGATCGGAGAAGCATCGATTCCACAAAGCATCAGTTCGTCGTAAAGATCTTCGCCCTGAACGTTAGAACTGGTGGATGTAAAGAATGTAGTTCATCTGAGCACTTTCCCTGGAAATAACTATAGACCAGCAAAGGTGCTTTCGTCGTTTTGTCTGTGGTAAAGGAGTTGACGGTTGGAACGGCCTCGGAGATGCTTTCCGACCCCATCAATACTAGAAAGCGAAGATTGGTCAGCTTCTGCCCATATATGGTAACAGTTTTATTTCTGAGATGGTGAAAACAATCTTATAGATATGCGCTGTTTATAGAAATGGTAGAAGTGAGGATACTAATCCTAAGTCGATTGGTATTTTCAAATGTGTAAATTCTAATCTGGAATCTGGAGATCATTCCGGAAGTCCTGCTGTCATGTTTTTTCTTTTAAGAATAATGAAAAAGCTGATTTAAAATAATCCGGACACCACGACACGTATATATAACGCATATATCTCTCATTGTAAGTCATTTAGAAACGTTTACTTTTTTCTCGAATATTCAGGTTGGTAGATGAGAATAAATAAATATAAGGTTTGATATATAAACAGAAATTCTACTCAAATATGGCTATCCACTAAAATAGTGTTTAAGTTATAAAAACATATATCGGATCAATAAATGCAAAACCCATTTACAATATTTACACTGTTCGCTCTGTTGTCTCATCTTTGGGGGAAGATTGTTCTAGTTCTACGTGCCGTGCCACTTCCGGATATATCAATTTCTGTTATTTCCCTTTAGTAACTCAATTTTTTGTACACATCTGCTGTGGCCAGATATTGAACTCACAACTCTTTGGGGCAAGTGACTGTATTACTTGAACAACGCTTTTATCCACAAAGTGAATATTACAACCAAGATGGGGACATCATGGATTAAAGAACGAAGATAAGGTCAACAGTCCGGACAATGGAAATAGTTACATATCATCTCAGAAATATAGACTGATATTGAAAAATACATTCCTAAAAAAAAATGCATTTAGTTACATTAATTAATCCGAGGTTATGGTGCCTCGCATTTTAATTGAAAAAAATCAATGGACCACATTTTCAACTGCAATTAAAAGCTCAAACTCAAGACAACTCACCATTTTTATAAAAAGCTGTCACAGACGTTGAGAAATGTACTGTTTACAACAATGTAGAATAAAAACGCCGTGGGGAAAATGAAATTTCGGTTTTAATCCGGAAGAAGTGATCCTCTATATCTGGTGTGAGTAGGACATCTCGTGGTGCTGTAATGGTTAGCAAGCTTGTCTCGCTAGAACAATTACGTCTGAATAGTGACTTCGATCCTCACTGGATGCCCCATACTTTCGGCCTTGTGCCACATCTGAGCTACGCTTGGAAAATCAATATCTGGTTTGATTGGAAGGGCTTCGTCGACAAAATCAGACATTGAATTCAGACAAGTAGCGTTTCAAGTTCGATTGATGAAAGGCAATAATCGATGAAAAGCGTTGGGAATTGGCTGAACGGAACGTTCTTCGATTAGAACAAAGCCTATCACCAATTCTCTTTTCAGAGATTAGAATTGCTACTGCAACCAACATACTCATCTGACGTGCACATTCGGATGAACACTAATTTCGACCCCACCCCATCAATGGGAAAGCTTCTTTTATCTGTTAGCCCGTAAAAAAACACTTAAACCAGTTCATCATCCAGAAAGATGCTAAGTTCTGAGAGAACGGAATCATGAAACTGCCTCAAAGATGGTGGAGGTGAAACAAAATGGCATAAACGCGTATGAATAAATCTATGTAAAAATATCTATATGTTGTCTTTGAAATTCAACAGAAATAAAACGCTACGTATTTTCGTCCGAACCCAGTATTTATTTTGGCGAACGAGCCTTGGAACAGAGCGGAAACCCTGAACATGAATACGATACACGCCTTGGGGTCAAGTTAGTTTTCCATATATTTCCTTAATAACAATTCTATGATTTGAATAATAATGGATCCCGGCCCTTCAGCTGAATCAATCAGGCGCAAACATAAACGAGAGATATATATGCACAGCTAGGCATTTATCGTTTGAATACCGGACTGATAAAGACACAACATGGTATGATGTGTTCGAAGAATCCAGCAACATAGCTACTCCTACAAACCAGATAAACCTTATTACGATGCAACATTGAATCAAGTATATTGACAAAATGGAAGCATTCTTTCCACATAAGGTACAGTTCTTTAGATAGATAGATAGATAGATAGATAGATAGATAGATAGATAGATAGATATTGAATAGATACATCACGCGCATTATAACCTTAAATAATTATATATGTATGTCTGTAAATTTATAAGAATTCTATTTCTCTATGTGAGTATCAGATGATAATGTGTATTCGTAATTTTTTGCCTGTGTGTTCAGAAGACACTATGTCTGTTGATTTTATCGTGTATTGATATCGGAACTTTTTTATATACATACAGTCTGTTTCAGGTAGACATACATTAGATTCTTTAAGAATGGGTTCAATAAAGGAGGCACGGTGGAGTAAAGGTGGCGCGGTGGAGGAATGGATAGCGGCTTGGATTGAGTTCGAATTCCAGTTGAATCTGTTACATTCATTTACGAACAAATAACCTTGGAATAGGTATGATTCCTCTTCTCCCCCGCCAGCTATGTGTAAATAGCAGGACAGACTGGTTTCTATAGGTCTACCCTAGAAAGAAATGGCAACCTACTGCGGGAAAAAACTGCCACGTCAGTCATGTATCGAAAGATATATGATCGCCTAAACGTGCATCACGCATGGCACATGAAAGATTGTCGGTGTAATATAATGTTTTTGACTTGTTATAATTAGAATCTTATTATTAAGCATTCAAAGTATTTTCTCTTTAAAGAATTTTGTTCTTTTTAATTAGCGTGACCTTAGGAAAATCGAAGTTATAGTCAGGTTTGTTCCTTTTTATTATGGGAATATTTAAAAAATTTCCAAATGTAAATCTCTTTTGTGTTCTTAGATACGGGTTTTTAGATCGCGTGATGTCTCTCTTACATAAATATGTTTGCATTGTAAACAATTTATTTGATAAATACCGGTATCTGAATTAATGTTGAATTTTTTCTTGTGTATAATAAATGCCAATGTCAGTGTGTCACACATTTTCAGTTAAAGGGACAAAACTCTGAGCTAATGCTCATCTCCTTCAATATAATAAATTCCAATGTCAGTGTGTCACTTTTTCATTTAAAGGGATACAACTATCATTAGCTCATCTTCTATATAATAAATGCCAATGTCACACTTTTTCAATTAAAAGGACGCAACTTACAATAGCTCATCTTCTTCTTCTAAATAATAAATGCCAATGTCAATGCGTCACTATGTCACACTTTTTCAATTAAAGGCACATAACTCTCTAACATTCAATAGCTCATGTTACAGAAAATTTTGTTTCACAAGCTTTATTACTGCGATTGTTTTCATCCATTTTTTTGTGACGGATTTTTTGAGACGGAATCTAACCACTATTTAAAAATAATTCTTTGTACAAAAAGTAAGGACCTACGCACATCAAATTGTCATTATTAATGGTGACAGAGGAATTATTGATGAACTTTTAAAAGGTAAACTTAAATATTAATACAATGCTTACATGCGGCGATCAATTTTGAGTTCTTCTGTAGTTTATTGTTGCCTAATGCATACGACAGCTGTATGCCTCACAAAAAGAAATCTCCGCTAACAAAGAACCACATTGCACTCAAAAGAGCCAAGGCTGCATCGAGAAAAGAAAGTCTCGTGCAAATGAAAACCCAGATCATACGGCAGCCAGGAGAGCGGTATTCAGTCACCCCCCCACAAGGGCATCATGTGGCACAAGGCCGGTTTAACGTGGGATCTCCGAGCCCGTGGGCTCGGCCAAAAATATGCCCTTTTTTAACCCGTATAAACGGGTTCAGGGTCGGTTTACCTTCTCGAAAGAGAATCCGCCCTTCGGCGTAGCCTCGTTCGGGTTCATCCCCGCCCGAAGGCAGAGAGTTCAACCTGTCAGCCGGTCGTCCGACTTCAGACTGAACTCAGACCGACCCACTGAGCGACAGGAGAGCTTCCAATGCTGAGAATATGTAAAGACTTAGGAAATTTCAAACTCCTGAACAAGCCGATGCTCCAACCAAGACCCTCCACAGGCGTTAGCTTAAATGCCACCCGATAGGTTGACGTTTAAGCTAGTATATACATATATCTTCGATTATCTTGGAAGTGGTGGTAAAGTCTCTAATATCAGGGATAACTCATTTATATTCAAGTTTAGTGGAAAGAATTTTGGAGCGTAGGGTTATGAATTTTGTGCATTTTTTGTCAGTGTTACTAGTAGTGTCTAGTTGTTTTGGTTTTGTGGATTTCGTCAACTTGTTTTCTAGCGTCGAGGAATAAATGATGTGAGTAGTTAAGAAGTTTGAATGTTTTCTCTGTATATTTCTCTTCTTCATTCAGGTAATCACGGCTGCATATCCTTAGCGCCCCAAGGTAGAATCCTATGACTAATCTTGAATTTTTTTCTTTGATTGTAGTGGGAATAGAAATTAATTACATCGTTTTTAGTTAGTGTCTTTTCAATAAGTTTTAAAGACCCAATTATTATCGTTACTCGTTAAGACGATGTCGAGGAAATGTAGAGATGTGTTTATTTCAAATTAATGCGTGAATTCAATGGCAGCTTCAACCTTATTGAGTTTCATTACTATATTTATTACGTTTATATTATGTGGATATAATAAAAGAACGTTATCTATACATCTTAGGTAAGTAGAGATTTTAGGTATGATATGTTGAAATGGACAGGATTCTAAAATTTATAGAAAAAGACAAGCAAGAATACCACTGACAGGTTACCAAATAGGTAAGCAGATTATTTTTTGAAAGAGAAGAAACAGTGGCCATTGATTAGTTTACATAGTTTTATTATTTTGTGGACAGGTACAGGATTTTTTATGTGGTTTCTTAAAATATTGAGGCATTTTGTGACAAGTATGTTTATGTATAATGATTTGATATCTTAGCTAACCAAGGACTTGTCTTCCATATTAATGTCCCGTATTCCCGGAATTAAGTGGCCGGAATGTTTGATATGTTTTGTGTTGATGGTTCCTTGGAGTGCAGTTAAGATTTTTTTTTCCATAGCTTTAACTAATTTGTAACATACACTGATTATTCCAGATACAATGGATCTGATAGTATTATGAGACCTTACCCATAATAACATAATGGACTATTCCATACGTAATAAATACTGCGTCTCAAGAGGAAGCAGGGAGTTCAGCCCGAAGTCGGGCGACCGGCTGATCGGTTGAACTCTCTGCCTTCGGGCGGGGAGGAACCCGAACGAGGCTACGCCGAAGGGCGGACTCTCTTTCGGGGAGGTAAACCGACCCTGAACCCGTTTATACGGGTTCAAAGGGCATATTTTTGGCCTAGCCCACGGCTCGGAGATCCCACGTTAAACCGGCCTTGTGCCACATGATGCCCTCGTGGTGGGGGGTGACTAAATACTGTTCAGTCTGAAGTCTGGAGTGAGGTCCGTCAGAAGTCTGTCAGTCAGTCAGAACGAGCGAGTCAGTCAGTCGAGTCAGAGGCAGCCCGAAACAGAGTCGCGTTCTAACAATTACTACTAAACCTGATTGTTCGTACTAACACTTCCTGCTTCTCTGTATATATTCATGTTTGTAATATATCTGTGTTATTCCTATCCGTATTCGAGTTCTTCTTTATTGGTTCTACCTTGGACCATCACCGTGGTACAAGGAACCGGACCATAACAGATAGATATTTTCGCTTTCTGTTTTGGGTAAGCCGTATTTTGTACATATAATGGGGGGGGGTATTTTATTCATCTGTTCCAGGATTTGTTAACATTTTTCAATAGTTTCTTAACTGTTTTCTCGTATTTGTGTATCTATGTTTACTGTTTGTTCGTTGGTTTTATATAAGTGTTGTTGTTCTTTAAGAGGAATTCTAATTTTTCAATGTAGGTTTTGATGTCCATTATGACTTTTCCACCATCATCTTTATCGGATGGGATTAAGATGATGCTTTTTATTACTGGATAAGTTTTTTTTTTATGTCAGTAAAAATAACTTCTAGGTAAAGTACTTTAACTGGTAAGGGTGTCTCCTAAGATAGCATGTTCAATTTCTTTGTTCAAATTCGGTGTGGTAAAATCTATAATTTCTAACTAAAGTTGTGATAATGTCATCTTTACTTAATCCGGTGGCAAATTTTTAGCAAGAAAGTAAAAACTCCACTTCAGTGACAGAAAGCTTGATGTTGGAAATGGTGTAGATAAGATTCGTGTTGCTTATTGCAATCGATTTCCATCAACTTGTTTTAAACGATTTATTTGTCTGTCTATGTATGATATCGTTCATCGCTAGGTCTAGGATAGATAGATAGATAGATAGATAGATAGATAGATATGAATAGGTCGAATAGATAGATAGATAGATAGATAGATAGATAGATATGAATATGGATAGAATAGATAGATAGATAGATAGATAGATAGATAATGACCGGTCGAATAGATAGATAGATAGATAGATAGATAGATAGATAGATAGATAATGAATAGGTCGAATAGATAGATAGATAGATAGATAGATAGATAGATAGATAGATAGATAGATAGATAGATAATGAATAGGTCGAATAGATAGATAGATAGATAGATAGATAGATAGATAGATAGATAGATATGAATAGATAGATCGAAAAGATAGATAGATAGATGAGATAGATAGATAGATAAGAACGGAGATAGATAGATAGATAGATAGATAGATAGATAGATAGATAGATATGAATAGGACTTACTATTTCGTGTGATCATTTCGTCGTATATCGACAATTGAATGTTAATTCGATAATCCGGTCAGTATCTTCCGAACTTACCGTGATCTCGTCGACCTTATTCGCCATGCCTGAGGTGCCCGACAGACATTTGCATTTACAAGTACTTAAGACACCCAAGAAATAATTGCATGCATCGGTTAAATTAACTTGAATTGACTATTGCTCCGAATCCCAATGAATACGAAACCTATACCTGGGGTGAAATGCAGATAGTAGGAACTTTCGGTCGGATTGCTTATTCTCCATCGAAATAAGAGGGAAATGGAAAAGTACACACGATTCCAGCTTGAAGGAATTCATAAAAGAATAGCATTGTTGGTCAGATTTTAAAGTTGTGATGGTGTCATCTTTTCTTAATCAGATAGAAAATTTTAAGTAAAAAAACAAA